GTGAGAAGACGTACTATTATCAAGAAAAATATTCCTAGCCTGGAAATATTTTAAAAGAGCATGAGATGATGTGATTTGGCGCCTAGTAAATATAAGTTCGTCAAAAAATTAACACTTACGAAGACGGAATAAATGCATATCGTTCCCTTCTCAATAATTCTTCCGCGCTAACTTGATTATCAGCAAAAGAATTTACGTTGCACATACGTCTCCAACATTTTTATTACATTATTGGCCAGGAATGAATCCTACACATTTTCATAATTTTTTTTTAAAATAATAAATAAATAAAAATAAGGAAGCATTAGCATTAATCATAAAGAAAGGAACAAACACCCCGATCCATTAACAATATTTACTAGACTGTTGTATACAACCATATAGATTGCATGAACATATTTCTCCAAAATACATTTGGTAATCGCAGTTCTTGTCAACAATCCCAATAAAGGCAATATAACGTGTTGAAAAGAGTAAATCCTAGGATTAAGTCCCGCATCACATGACATTGAGGGAAATTTACAATATCCCTCAACCTATTTCAGGATTACCTAAATCGGTCACGAATTCTTCCTTATCGCAACTAGCGCTGAACTAATGAAAATTCTAGCATCCTTTTGTTCCCAATCATTTTCTTTTTTTAAAATTTTTTTCCATATGGTTTTAATCATCTCACCATTAGTGATTGAAATTATTCGGTCGCTACCATTATATGATAATTCGGAAGAACAAAAATTTGCTTTATTTCCGGGACGTTAAGATGCGTTGGTGGAGGTCTTTGAACATCATCGCGACGACGATCATTATTATTATCACGATCACGTCCTCCGCGTCCTCTATGACTTGAGTTCGCACCTCTTGCACGGTTACGGTTGACAATTCTACTTCCACTTCTACTTTTATTACAATCACGGTTAGAGCCAGAATTTCCCTTTCTGGTCATGTTATCACGAAGAAATGTATCTTTCTTACTAAGAAATTATCCTAAAAATACTTTCTAACCTAGCAAAAAAGTGGATTTCCTTGATAGCAAGAAAATGACACTTAAAAAAAAGAAGGATAATTCTTCCATTACTAATTATACTTTTCTATTTTTTAAGTCTAAAACAGGTGCATATGCATAAGTGCATCATCATGATTTGTTGAATATTGCATGAAAAAAAAGCTGTCATTCTTACCATTCTGGTGAACAATAAAGTTTCAAATGAGAGGCGCAGTGTTTAAGAAAAACATGATTCCTTTTCCGCATGACAAAAACGATGCTACAACAATTAGATTTATAATAATGGGGGCGAAGCCACATTCTCAGATAGATCGGCAGAACTGCGCCTAATATATTGACCCGTCACAATTTATTGTTATGAATGCAATTCTGTATATTTCGACCAGAATTAACACATTTTACCTCTAATTATCGGAGTGAATTGTTCTGCTTTTCGTGCAACTCGATTTTATTCATGTCTTTAACAATATGATATCGTATTAGATCTTATTAATTAACGGATGAAAAACATAAAAAAAAAAAATTTGCGACGCGCATATGGTGAAATAGTATTGAAATCGGATTTTATCTTAATAATTTATCAAATACTAACTAATTATGGAACTTTCATCCATGATGTAATAAAAATTTAGGAAATTGATAAAATGTTGTTGGAAATGAAGATAAAATGGGAAATTATACAAAATTTAAAAAAATCTTGTATATTTATTAATGCATTGTCTACTATTGGAGAAGAACAAGGAATAAGTTAATAATAATGACAATAGAATTATAAGAATGAGAAAATGGAAAGTATTAAAAAAGAAAGAAAAGAAAGGTATAAGGTAAGGTAAGAACGGATGTAGAAAAGTTTTGAGAATTAAATCATTGCATCACTTAATTCTAGCCAGAATTATGAATTTGACCTAATTTAATTTTAATTTAGCTGAAAATAAAGCTCATTATTTCTGTAACTGTACATAAAAATATTATAGAAATTTAATTAAACATAATATCAAATAACCAAACAATAAAGTTAAAATTATTTTTTAAAATATTTTTAATATCTAATAAGAAATACAGTCAACCTCTTAATAATCACACTCTTAAGACTAAAAAAATTTGTTGTGATTATAAAAGTTATATAATGTGACTATAGAAAAGAATTTTTAATAAGTTTATTATTAACTTTAGCTTAACAAAATAAGCTAATAAAAAAAAAGTGATTATATAAAAAGTCAGCTGTATTATATAATGATAAATAACATTTTTAATATAAAAAATTTCTAAGTTACCAGACTATTTAGTTTTAAATTTAATTTTATCTATATATCTAATTCTAATTTAATATTATAAGTAAAAGATAAAATCACTTAATAATAATTAAAACTCAAGTAAATTTATAATAAAATAATAATTATAAATATAATAAATCTAATATAATAAAAACTAATAAATTATTTTTTTATATAATTTTATTAATTTAACTTTTTTCTAAAAAGATTTTTATAAGTATTTTTATATTACATTAATTTTTATAATAAGTTTATATATTTTATATAATTTCTATATTAAAAATTTAAATAAATAATAGAATAAATTTAAAATAGTTTATTTAATGTTATAAAATATAACTTATAAGTATTTAAGTTATTTAAGTAATAAAAGATAAAATTTAGCAAAATTATATTAAAAACATTAAAAAATATGCAAATTTAGAGAAAAATAAACTATATCTAAACTATAAAATAATGAAACTATATTACAACATTAGTAAAATATTAGTAAAACTAAAGATTTAGATATTTTACTAAATCTAAAATAAATTTAAATATATAATTTTAACTATTAATATATAATAAATAGGTTTCACACTCTAAAAAATAGTAAGTTACCAAATTATATAAAACCAGTATGTATAAAACAATATAATAGTTTATTCATATAATTATATACTTAAAAGTATAATAAATATCATTTAAATTTTCTTAAATAATATTATAAATTATGATTTAAAATTAATTTAATTATTTAACTAAATATAAAATTAAATAATTTATTAAATAAAATTTATGATTTTTTAAATTAAGTTTTATATTTAAAATATTAATTTTATTTACATTATAAAGAATATAATAAGATTAAAATTATGTTAATTATAAAAAATATAATATATATAGATAATAATTAATAAAAAAAGGAAAATCAAAATCTTCTTTTATTAATTCACTTGATTGATTACTATCATATACTTAAAATTAGCTTAAGAATTAAAATTAATAAAAATTTTAGATTTTCTTCTTTTATACTAATACGCGTCTAAAGGAGTCACCGGATCACCGAATCCAAATTACATACATTTTATACTTGGGTAAATCTAGTTGATCATCAAATCGTTACCGCGATTTTTATTGGTTATTTTATTTCCGTTTTGGCATGATTATGATATTTACTTTTAACGTAACATCCTCGTTATAAACTTACTAAACATCGTTAAAATAAATCTATATTGCAAATTTTTCATTTTTTTTTTACCTTACCTTTGTTAACAAGACTGAATATGGACAAACTTCCTATTGAAAAATCATCAAGTTCAGGTAAGGATAATAAAATTTTTTAGAAATTACACGTGGATATAAATAAATCATTCCTATATCTTCAGTACCTGAAAATGATGAATTGCAAACAAATCCAAACGCATTGAAGTCTCATTGTTTCTCTGATGAAAATTTTGTAAGTATACGAAATAAAATCTTTTTTTATCGTTTTCTTACTCTTACATTATTAATATAAATAATGCACTATCTATTAAGAACGAAATGTTTAAAAAAGAAGATGGTAGTAACCAAGATAAGGAAGATGCAAATGGTTCAATCGATAATTCTAAAATGACAATCCTTAATGATACGGATACGGAAGAGGAAAAGAACATGCAATATATTAATAACGAAATGTTTAACAAAAATGTTAGTAGCCAAGATAATGAAGGAAAAGTCGAAGACAATGACTCAAACGAGAATTCTAAAATGACAATCATTAATGATAAGGATAAGGATGATGAGAATGATAACATGCAATATTTTAATGACGAAATGGTTAACGAAGAAGATAGTAGCCAAGATGAGGACGACAAAGATAAAGACGATGTCACAAACAATAAATCTAGCAATAAAATGACAATCTCCAACTAAGATGATAATAGCCAGGACGAGGACGACGACAAGAGTGAAGACGATGACACAAACGACAAATATATCAATAATATGACCATCTCCAACAAAGATGATAATAGCCAGGAAGAGGACGACGATAAGAGTGTAAACGATGGAATAAGTGATAAAACTAGCTATAAGGTGACATTTTCCAACAAAAATAATAGTATTCAAGACGAGGACGACGACAATAGTGAAATCGATGGAATAAATGAAAATCCAGCAATAAAATGACATTCTCCAATTAAGATTATAGTAGCCAAAATGAAGACGACGACGATGATACAAGCGACAAACCTATCAATAAAATGTCAATCCTCAACATAGGGTATAGCAGCCAAGATGAGGACGATGACAAGAATGAAGACGATGACACAAACGACAAATATATCAATAATATGAACATCTCCAACAAAGATGATAATAGCCAGGAAGAGGACGACGACAAGAGTGTAAATGATGGAATAAGTTAAAACTCTAGCAATAAAATGACATTCTCCAATAAAGTTTATAGTAGCCAAAATGAGGACGACGACGATGATACAAGCGACAAACCTATCAATAAAATGTCAATCCTCAACAAAGGGTATAGCAGCCAAGATGAGGACGGCAAGAGTGAAGACAATGATACAAGTGTTGAATCTAGCAGTAAAATGATGGCAGTTTCTAAGGAGAATAATAACGATTTCATCAGCAAAACTGTAACTTTAGAGACTGAAAACGATGATTCAGGTGATGATCCTAGCAGTAAGGCTTCGACTTCTAACGAAAACAATTATATTGATAGTAAATCACGTTTAAGTTTTGATGACAATAATTCAATTAAATTTTACAACAGCAACACAACCAGTAGCAGCCAAGATAATGTAGATAATGAATCTGTTATAAGCCTTGTGAAGATAATATTATAAATGATTTTGAATCTGAAGAAGACAACTTTTAACAGCTATGATGAAGAGAGTAGTATCGAAAAAATTACCTTTCGGAATTACTCTAATGATTCTTGCAATGAATCTACAACTTCCAGCAGCGATGATGATTTGATGCTTGGTATTTTTAGCAATAGAAACAGAATCGCAATTCCTAGTAGCAATGTTGATACAGTTATTATTGATACAGACGAGGCTAAATTTAACAGAGAGTAGTTCTGAAGATAAGAATCTTTTTGAAACAAATAGTTCTAGTAGCGATATCTTTTGTTCTATTAATGGAGATAGCGATGATGCAAATGAGAGCAGTTCTGATAGCGATGATACAAGTATAAGCAGTTCTGATAACGATGATAAAAGTATAAGCAGTTCTGATAGCGAGAGCAGCACTATTGTCGAAGAACCAAGTGTGAGAAGGTCTGATAGCGATGATAGCTGTTCTGATGAAGAAACAACAACTTTTATCAATTCAGTGAATGTATGGATATATATTACATAAGTTCTAGTAGTAATAGTATTAGGGGTGACTTAAACAGCGAAACTGACAGTGATGATGATGTAATACTATTAATAACTCTAAAAGAGAGCATTAAGTTTTGCAATATGCATAAACTTTAATATTGTATTGAACGGTAATGATCATTATATTGTTGAATAAAGAATTCGCTGGTGTGGTGAATAATGAAAGTTTAATAATGTTAAATCATGTAACGTTACTACAACCAAAACTTCCCCTATGACCTGAAGAGCTAAGTTTATAATAATTACAATCATAAATTAAGGTAATATTTTAATGATTGTGACATATACTAGTTTTCTTATCGATATAATTGAGAAATATCGGAAAATATATATATATATATTTTTTGTTGTTAAATATAATTAAATGGTGTGATTCAGTAATAAATTCTTGAATCGACCTATTAATTATTTTTTAATAAAATTATAATTTAGTAATTGTAAGCAGGTAATCCTTGATGCATATTAATTAGGTCATCGGAGACTTAGAACATAATAGGAAACAAGACGAATCAATCTCAAAATGCTTAGGACATAAAAATATACACTATACTTAGCGAACATATCTTATTTCAAGAATATTATGTTTAAAATATCGGGTATCCTCTAAGTTTAGTATCTTAACATTGTCAAAGTTGTTTCTTGAAGACAGTTGTGAGGGAGGCACTTAAATAATTCAATAATTTATTCCTGTATTATTTATTATTATATTCAATAGGTTATATTACGAAAGGCGAATTTAACCAAGAAAGAATATCGTAACTTGATCAAATAATAAATATTTTATTAAAGATGACTTTCAATGTTGAAAGCATCCTACGAAAATTCTCGTTTTAAATTTATGGATTATTCAGAACGTCAATGACACTTTATTCAAACGAGATCATTAT